AGAAATAGGAATACTGACACTAACACTGATACTAACACCGACATCTCCTTATGAAACTTTACTTTTCTCCGCTTTTCTCTTTTTCTTCTATTTCTCCTCTTCAATTACTAACTGTGAGTGATGTTATTAAGATGATGAATGGATGATGTAAGATCAACTGTTTCCATACAGTAATCGTCACAATTTAGACAGTAATTGTACAACAATTCGTTGACGGTTGATTAATATCCCGGTTCGCTTCAGAATCTAAGTCAGTCGTATACAACTTAAACGTTCCATTTATGACGACGATGATGATGATTCATAGCATTTTATATGGCGCTTTATTTCTGTTTCAAAAACATTTCAAGGTTCCGGCTCGTCCAATGAAATAATTATTACACATATTATGCTGAAATAGATAAGTTTTGAGGCGAAATTTGAAGTCTTCTAGACTGTCAATCTCACGAAGAGAGAAATGAAGAGAGTTCCACAAACAATGGATGACAAGGCTAGGTCCTCATTCAGATCATAGCTCTTGAAAGGTATCTGGAGAGTAAGACCAATGAGAGACCAGGCTTAGGCCCAATCAGGCTGCAACCTATACCTCCTTGGTTAGACCAAGTCCAGATGAGCAGAAGTCGTATATTCCCTTATCAAGAACACGAAGAAGGTACGTTGACAGTGATTGTACCGATCGCAAAATAGCAAACTTCCACAGCTCCAGTAAAAAAAAATAAGCCACAATGTTTCTGTTCCACAGCCACTTTCAATTTTTTGCTCGATCCAATATCTGCACACTTTCTTTTTTTCAAATCAAATATCAACGAATATCCAAGAATATCCACGAAAAGTTGTAATCCGAGTCACATACAGGTTATATTTTCATTAGATACTTCGCTATACTTCACAAGCAAAATATTCTAGCATGTCGAAGACTTGGAGAGCCATTAGTGAAATAATACAAAATACTCGAGACCGGAAAGGAAACAAAAATACTCAAGGGCAAGCATTTGAATGCAATTTTTTGAGTGACGCACAAACATAACAAAAGATACATCTTTATCTTGACCGATATTTATTTTATTGCGCCAATCGTATAGTTCAGATGCCGTTGGGCTGTAAAAAGAAAACAATTACACACATGTAAAATAATATAATAAGAGTTGCTTAAAATCCATTTTAGGAGTCAGTATGTGGGGTCATTTCATGTTTTAGAGTTGAAACCGTTTCAAGGTAGTGGTTTAATTGACTCTTTTTAGAAACCTTTGCATTAATTGAATTAAATGCATATTATATCAAAACTCAAAAGACTAACTGTGCGTGCAGCCAAAGCATCATGCCGCGTGTAATTTTTTGGAGTCGTCATCTTTAGGATGATATAACGTTCGTTTTTTTCCCTCCTTTCTTAAAAAAAAGAGAGTATAGTTGTATCATTTTAATTGTTTGCATTACAAAAAAGACTTTGAATAGCCAGAGGGGAGGAGAGGGGGGGGGGGGGGAGGCACATCTTACAACCTTGCTGATATGTTGCAGTTCGTTTTTATGATGAATCTTGTACAATTTGTACAATAAACTATTCAATTTTTCGCTATAATTATTATTTCAAAGAAGCCCATAAAACGATTGCCATATTCGATTTGTTATCATCAATTTGAACAGAAAATATGTGGAACATCAATCAAAACCAAAAAAAAAAATCAGGATGATGCTCATTGGATTGTCGTCTAAGCATAAACATAAACATAAAAGAGCTTCAATTAGTGCCTCAAAAATGATGTTCCATTCGCAAGCTCTCCCTTTCTATCTCCCCTCCCCCAACCCTTGCTCCACCCCCTTTCTCTCTCTCTCTCTCTCTCTCTCTCTATTTCTCTCTCTCTCTCTTCTTTCTCTCTCTCTCTCTCTCTCTTTCTCTCTCTCTCTACTTCTCTCTCTCTCTTTCTCTCTCTCTCTCTATTTCTATCTCTCTCTCTCTCTCTCTCTCTCTCCCTCTCTCTCTCTCTCTCTCTCCCTTCTCACCTCCTCTCTTCACTTTGGCCTTTATTTCTTCTTAGCCATTCGATCAGTTAAAGATGCCCCTAAATTTCAAATGCATAGTGATTCCAAATTGTTTCTGTTTTTTTCCACAGACAACATCCCTCGCAGTTTTTAATCTTTTGAAAATGTAAATGAAAAATCACGCCAATATGACCTCAGGAGCGTAGAGTCACTAAAGTCAATCTAGGCTTGGCGCAGTGAATAAAAGGAAAATGGTGCTGAATGAAAATGATTTGGACTGGTTGCATGTTCAATTCCATTAGATAGGCATCCCAGCAGTGTCAAATATTATGTAGTAGGCCAACAAAAGCAACTTAAGAAAGGCAAATATCATTGTGCTATTGTGATAGCATGCATGAATGAATGAACCGTTATGCCTCTATTAGTATGGTGTGATGCGTTCTTCGGGGGGGGGGGGGGGTGATTATCACATTGTGAAAATATGTCTTCAGCTACGAAAGCGGGCCAAATATTCCTCTTTTTGATTTCTGAACGATTTGCGGGTTTAAATAAACGTGAAGGCATGCTAATTTTCTAAATATGGAGATAGGGAGAGGGGTGTGGTTTTAAGCAAAAATCCGCTGATAGTATTTCGTTGCAACGAGAACAACGATATATATATATATATATATATATATATATATATATATATATATATATATATATTTATATATATATATTACTATGTTCCATCCACAGTTTCGCACTGGCATACTGCAAGTGAAATTCATTTATATTCTGGGCCTACAAACCTAGGGATGCTACCAGTGGACATAGGCAAACTGATAGCGATGGTGGTGCATAAACTAAACTTTTTGAATAATTTTCATCCGTAGCACTGGAAATGAGATTTTGTCCTAGCATTAAAACACTACTATGTCTACTACTACTACTACTACTACTACTACTACTACTACTACTACTACTACTACAACTATTACACTACTACTACTGCTGCTGCTTCTACTTCTACTACTACTGCTTCTACTTCTACTACTTTTACTACTACTACTACTACTACTACACTACTACTACTACTGCTTCTACTTCTACTACTTGTACTACTACTTCTACTACTACTACTACTACTACTACTACTACTACTACTACTACTACTACTACTACTACTACTACTACTACTACTACTACTACTATGCCTACTACTACTACTACTACTACTATGCCTACTACTACTACTACTACTACTACTACTACTACTACTACTATTACTACTATTACTACTACTACTACTACTACTGAAACTACTACTACTACTACTACTACTACTACTACTACTACTACAACTACTACTTCTACTACTGATAATAATAATAATATTCATCACCATCATCATCATCATCATCATCATTTGAAAACTTAAAGAACTTTCGCTATCAAAAAAACAAACAGCAACACAATTTTCACAATTTCCATAACAAGCAGTCTCTGTACAAAAGTATATTTTCCAATACGGTCATAAAAATTATAATAATTGTAAATTTATTTTACGCAATTGTTGTCCAAAATTGATTAAATATACTCAAACACGCATAACAATGTTACAAGAAAAAAGGCAGGAATCAAATAAAAAATGACATTAATTCAGAAACAACACAAAATGACAGCACATTATGTTCAGTCATACTGTATATTTAGACAAATCCAAATTTCGATAGGCACATTCCTCTGAGTTTGAGTTTGGAATGATTAATGTCTCTATATTTTCCTCTTGTTGGAACACCATGAAGATTGATGAAGGGAGGCAAATTCATCAGAACGTTGAGCATTATAATGAAACGATTATGAATATAGGTGGCGCTCTTCTATAGAAGTACTTAATACGATAGTTCAATTAATGTTATTGTAAACAAATTATATGCCGTATTAGTTGACGATTGAATTTGAAAATATTGGGACTCACATCCTTAAATTATTCATATATATAAGTGATAAAATAAGTATAGAACCTAACTTTTATAACATTTCCAAAAGTATATTTGTACTAATTTTGGGCTGTAATTTGTTAAATGTGGTATGGTAAAGGTTCTCATAGTCAGCCTTGTTAAAAAAAAAAAATTGATTAAAAATATATTAATTTTATCGGCAACATTGTTTTCAATCTCCCCTTTTGATCATCATGTTATGTCATAAATATTAAAATGATGTAATCATATTCTGTAGGTAAATTTATTTTTGGCCTCCAAATATTATTTCAACAACAACGACAACAAATTTGATATGAAAACGGATGTTGACACAATAATTAACGAACCCCACGCTTCGAGGAGTACCCCTCCCCTTCCCTCCGTCCTCTACCCCTCCCCCCCCCCCCCCCCACTTTTATGGAAATCTTTCTAATAGACTCCAGAATCATTGAAGGGCGGCGATCCGTCTTCAGAAGGGGGAGCACGGATGAATTAATCGTAGTTGACCGCCCTCATTTCGTTCTCTTATTCCAAAATCATTGAAGGGTAAGAGCCCCCCCCCCCCCCCACCTCAAGGATCGACGCATAAATTATGAAGCCATTCCTTCTCAACTTGAACTTTCAGTACCTCAACTTTTTAGCAACCGTACCTCCCCGGCTGCATGCTGGGTCATCCAAACAATGTATGATCAATTATCCCTCTAATATGAACTAGGTCTATTTCTCAGTGGGGTGACTATCAATCCAGTCAGCTCCAAAAGGCTCTGAATTTATAATGTCTGGTCCGGTTGTGCGTGAGTTTGCATGCATACACCTGTGTCAGCCGTTACAGCGCGTAACATGTTAGAGTCTGCACTGTCAAGACTATGCTGACTGACGGTATACTGCCCTGTGTTCCAGTGAGGCGGACAGAGCTGGGCTCTGCTCAAGACTTCAGGAATTGTGGTATACTATCCAATTAGAGTCTGTTCTTGCAGACTATACTACTCCACCTGCCGATCGAGCTCATGTACTTGGCAGAAATTACACTAGCTTCACCACAAATAAAAACGGGTGGCTGGGGAAAGAAGATGGTGGAGTTAGCCGTAAGAGAAGAACGGGGGACAAAAATGAGACAAGCAACATTTAATTGGGACGTCTGTTATGATACCGAGCTGTGGAGGTCACGAGGTCGAGGTCAAGTCTGAGGGTAGAGACATTAGTAGTCCTTATTCTATCTCGTCTACCACTGAATAATAAAAGGACACGAATTTTGCAACCTGTGGAGAGCTAGAGAGAGAGAGAGAGAGAGAGAGAGAGAGAGAGAGAGAGTATCAACAGATGGTCGGAAAAGTTCGCTATTATTGTGCTGTGCCTGCATGCATGAGCCACCGAGTCCATCCTTGCGCGTGTTTCCCCGACTACCAGCCGCGTGCATTGGAAAGGTATGTAATTCTGGTAAATCACTCTCTTCTCGTCAAAGGCTATGCTTCAAGTTCATGGTTCACCCTTTTGGTGGTCTTTATGCTCTTCCTAATAGTATTGATGAAGTGGAATCATTGCCAAAATGCCAAGATGTCAGACGCCACGTGAGAATATCAACAAGGAGAATATAGCTAGATAGTCTAAATCGGAAGACCGAACTCTTCGGAAATCTTACGCACTTGCTTCGATCTTCAGTCGAGACAGACTAGACAGTTCAGAGAGACAACAAAACATCATTGGTCGTCATCTTCGCGAAGTGTGACTGTTAAACATAAGGACATGAAGAGGATTTCAAGAAAAGCTTTAATGAGATGACGAGACTGTCTCTTGGAACACAGTATACATGCTATTGGATGTATATTATTCTGGATAAGATCTGAAAATGTGATTATTCCATCGTTTCTTTGAATATTCAGAAGTTCTGTGAGGAGTGTTTTCTTGTTGACCCTGCCATCTAATTTTTCAATCTTAGCACACGAGGAGTATGCATCGTGTTATCCTTGACCTGAAATCGATCGCAATTCCATCTTTGTTTTTAATGAAATTCTAAAAAGCGCGGGGAAAAACTTCAATAAATGCTACAATCTCGCTTCGGCAACAATCACTACGATAACTTCTTGATTTCATCACGATTAATAATTATCATCACCATTGCATGCATTTCAAATTCCGTCATGATTTCGGAGTAAAAAAAGTGAGCAAAATCAAATCTGGTTGTGTTTGCAATATCATCACACAATTTCAACGATTTCTTTAGGAGTGGGTATATAATACGATTACGAGGATGAACGATACTACAGATATATAGGCTTATGTATTCTGAGAGAGTACTATATTAGTAGTGTTGAATACTGTGATTCAGTAAACCCTCTTCGTTTTCGGTATTTTCCCAAGGTTTTGGAAGGCACGAGAGTTCGTCCTAACTTCTCACTCTCAGTAATTATCGACTCTGCTTAGGAGAGATTGGAATATCTGTTCTTATTGGTGAATAGAGTTATTGGTGGAGAAACCTGCAGGAATTGCAGAGAGAGATTAAAAACCTATTACAAAAAGAAAGGACCAACTGTTGACAATAAAGATGACTTCGTTAAAACGATGGTGGTTGTTTTCTGTACTACTACTTTTCTGTGTCATCGCGGGGTCATCGGCTAGAAGGAAACAGAAACAGGTAAGGGAATTTCCGCTAGTAATAGTATGCTAATAGACAAGATAATGGTGACACTAGGGTGACACTGCTAATTAATGACACGAGATGGCATGCAGCTGTCACCTGATAATGCAAGGACGGTGTGTGTTTTGTACAGACCTATAGTCCTCAATGTTTTCGGATTTGCATATGATTTTGAATAAAATTATCTCTATTTAATTTCATAACATTAATTAGTAACTTAAAGTTACAATATTGTGGGATATAATGAATCCGAAATGTAATATGGGGGGGGGGGGGGAGGGGGGATAACTTCACAATTATTTTTAGGGCTTCTAGTACTAATCTAAAGTAGTAGGCCTCCAACAAATTTGATGTTGTGTATGGATAGTCCACGCCGCATGTCTAGAGCTAGAGTTAGGCGACATACCTAGCTTCAAGATTTAGTCAGTTTAGTGTCTAGACGTGGGGACTGTCCCAATTTTCACGGGGTGTAATCCGTTGATTTATCCCGATACTTATGCAAATTTCCGTAATTCTAAAAGTATGATGTTACTTGATACATAAAGATAATCTTCATATTTCGTGTATAGCGAACACGGAGAGGATGATTTTATTTACCTCGGGACTTTTCAATCATTTAGACAGACAATGAAACATTCGTATACTGACTTTTATGAGTATGATTTCTAGTGTATGTCAAATTAAACAGGGGCGTACGTAGCACGAGTCCAACCATGAGGGGGCTGGGGGGGGGGGGGCACTGCATGGTGGGAACCCGTCTTATTAATCGGTGAATGAAATGGCGTGAGAAAAAACACCAACATCATCAACTTTACAAACCTGAGTCTTATTATATCGACAGACTTTAGTATTGTACATTTACTTAAAAAACATTTTTCTATCTTTCTTAAAAGCAAATCAATCTCCCTCTTTTTTAAAAAATATATTTATGATTTAGTTTAACTGAGGACTGCAAGCGAACCAAGCTCCATGCTTACGCAGTAGCCATCCAATATCATGTTATCTTTAACCTATTGACTGCTGAATTCTCTCTTTCCCATAGGTATAATACAGGGACCACTCGGTTCCAGTAGGCAATGGGTTAATATTCATAACGTATTCATAGTAAGCGCGTAATTTAATATCTTACCTTTTCTATAAAGTGTGATGTGATGTATGGACAAAATAAATCAAGTGAAAATGGATCAAATGTAGACATACATTTTAGTGTCGACATACGTTTAAATGTCATATTAATGCATGTTTGAAGAGAAAAGATATAGAAATCAATAAATCACTTTTCAATTATCAATTATGGAGTGAGGGTGTGGAAGGGGTTTATATCTACTTCTGTTGACGTTGCCTTCCCCCTCCCTCCCTTTCAATTCCCCCCTCTTGTTTTCACTAACCGATGAGGGGGCGCATATGCCCCCTGTGTCCCTATATCAACGCCTCTGAGGGTCATGCTATTATTGTGGTAGTCCAATGCTAAATCTAATTGTAGTGAAGAGGGTTTTCCCGCGTCCAGCATCATCGTCTGTCATCCAGTACCATTGAGCATTAACCCTCTAAGACGTTGTCATGGTGATTAAAACCCGAAGACGAGGGTTGGATTTATTTCAGTGCGAAAGTGCGAAAAGGTTTTTATCCCTTCCCACAATTTAATGTCGCCGTGTTGGTTGAAGGGCACCACAGGGAGGGGAGGGGTGCCCCGAAATTGAATATAATATGAATAAAAGAGTTGTATATGTTATTTCCAGGAAAAAACAATAATAGCCAATGAAGAGTTAGAATCATGAACGATAATCAAATATAGAAGAACTGATAATCAAACAATTCTATATATATTCAAAATTTTCACTTGGCCAGTCAAAGCAAATGTGAGTTTTGTAAATCTGTCAAATAGGCGAGTAGTAGGTAACTCTCTTGGACTCTTGATGTTTGTACTTGCTGAATTCGAGGCCTTCTTTGAAATAGATCATGAAATGAGAAGGATCGTACTACGAATAGATCAAGTCTGGCCTATCAAATAAACTACTCCCTTTTCTCTTATCATTATATATGTATAAAATATAATCATAAAAGTTCTGGGTATTCAGATAGAAGATCTTCTTGTCTACACAACTATGAGTTGAATGTTTGAAAGGGCATGCAGAGGCGGGATTAAGAGGGCACAGAAGGTCCGCGTGCGCCCCTCATTTGAATTTTGAAAAATGAAAGGGCAATGGCTGTTTTTTTTAAATAAATAAATGGACTCGATCTGCCCGCGCGTGCCCCCTATTTTTCTGTACTTTACCTGTTTACATGCCGTTATACAAAGCAAACAAAAATGCCCCTTGATTTTTTTCTTCTTCATTTTTTTTAATCATGACCAGCCCCCTCCCCCCTCACCCGCCTGTATGACATCTCGGATCCACCATTGTAAAGGGGCCCCCTGGAATATTCAACTCTGTATCTTCTGCTCGTCCCAGAAGGAGCTACAGCCACTCACCCCGATCCAACGCAGTTCACATGTCGCTCTATCATTGCAACATGTGTTACATTACTTAATACGGTGTTTGATGTTAAACTGCTGTGCGAGCGAAAAAAAATTGTGTTTTTTCCTCTCATAAATAACCTCAATACACAGTGGTTTGTCAGGGGTCTTTGCAACGAAGGCCTCAAAGTCAAAGGCAAAATACTGTACTGTGATGGCGACTAAATGTTTGGCCTTGGTAAATTTGGAGTATTACTAAAGAGTAAAGTATTACTAAATGTATTTCTATTACATTGTGTTTTTTGAGTTTCAAACACTTCCAAATATAATAACAACAATAACAACATAATTATATGTTTTTTTTTTTGTTTTTTTTTAATATTTTTTTTAGCGTGAAAGGGAAGTAATTGATAGTTATCGATTATTCATGTGAACAATAATGGGCAATTACCTCAACCACCTATCTCGTATAGAAAAGTTGTAGCATAATACATGGCCTACGTATTTACTTTTTAAAAACATTCTGCGTAATCCTTCTTGGAAGAAGCAGGAGCATGCCATGTAAGGAGTGGTTTTCAGGTCGTTCCCTCTTAGTTTTAAAACCAATTTTGCTCATAATAATAATAATAATAACAATATTTATAAAGCGCAACATATCCATCTCTAGAGATGCTCAAGGCGCATACAAATAATTTAAATTAATATTCAACATACTTAAGATTAAAGAAATATTAAATGTTAACTTGCATTAGATCATACAAGTTCATGGTGCCAAGGTACATACAATGTGGCGCTGTGTTATCGTTTGTTTTGCATGCATTGTATAAAAAGAACATTGAAATTTAACAATATGCATTGAGCATCAGGTGAGTTCTAAGCCCAGTTTTGAAAGTAGAGAGAGTGTTGGCCGTCTGAATAGAGAAAGGTAACTTATTCCACAAAGAAGGAGCTGCTGATGCAAATGCTCTATCCCCCAATTTCTGTTGGTACGTATTTCTTTAAGTCTAATATTATGTGATGAACGTAAACCAGAACGACCTGTAGAGTGGGGTGATAGAAGGAATGAAATATATTCTGGAGCTAGATCATTTAAAGTATTCCAAAGAAAAGCGTGACCCCTGTACAAATTTGACATTTCGAAAGACATTCTTAAAATTTGATAACCTTTGTTTTCCTTGCATGCCAGAGTTATGCTCCGCCCCCTATGGTTTCTTCTTGCTTGAACATTAAAGTTCACAAACATACTGCACTTGTGGCATACATCATTCCTCTCAACTTGATCATGAATCTGACATTTCGATTGTTTTCCCATGAATTCGTCTGAAGACCCCATGCATTGATCGTTGAGCTATGTATTTCCTTTTTTTTAAAGGGCATGACGCATTTCATGCTAAATTACAAGCCTGTTTCCAGTCAGCACTTTGACTGATATGAGTCATTTCTAGTTAAGATTGAACACAGTGGATACACCATCAAAATATTCGTATTCTTTTGTTAGTTGTATTCTCATGTCATGACGTCATTGATGCGATTAGCGGTGGCATGGATTGGGGGAGACACGTCCGGTTACTATAAATGTAACTTATCTTTCTTTTCGGGACGAAGTCAAAATAATCAAGTAACTCCGAAATTGAATATTTCTTCATAGAAATTGACATTTATACTTATACTGCCATGATAATAGTGCTCACGAAATTATCGAGAATAAAATGACCGAAATTTCTCTTTTTGCATACCATTTTTGCCCGAAGCTTTTTAATACACATTTTCAGGCATATTGAAGTACCCGTAAGTACAATTCAACCACTTTAATCTTTACCCCCCCCCCCCATGAATATTGATAACACGTTAGCACATGTAATCCGAAGAATTATGACTATTTTATAAGCGTACGATTGGTGTACTGTTAATGATAACGATGTAGATGAATGAGTCACTCTTATGTGGTAAAAAATGCCAACATTTCTATGACCACTTCCAACACCACAACTACAATTGATTACGAGAAGGAATATGACGAGGGCGGGGTGTGAGACGTGGGGGTTGACCAAGTGCCCTTCAAAAGGTCTAAAAAACAAAAACACAATATAACTGACGTTTTTATGCATGTATGAAGCCAAGGGATATGTTTTAACTATCTGAATTTTTATTTCCATAATGTTTTTCATGAATCTACGGAAAATTCCCTTATCCTCAAACTCTTGCATTGACCTGGCAAAAATGATGCCCTGCACCCTTTAAAAAGACTTAGAAGTTCGTTTTAATCCCAGGCCTATCTCTACTTATTTGTTCGCAAATACAATTTTTTATCTGCTGAGAGCCAGAACTCAGAAGGCCTTGTAACCAAGGAGCTTTAGACACAGAATCTATACCTCCTTGGTATAACTCTGCGTTTACCTTGGTACAACTATAACTTGGCGTTTACCTTGGTATATCTTTGCGTTACCTTGATACAATTATAACTTTGCGTTTACCTTGTTATAACTCTAAATTTGCGTTTACCTTGGTATATCTTTGCGTTACCTTGATACAATTATAACTTTGCGTTTACCTTGGTATAACTTTGCGTTTACCTTGGTATAACTATAAATTTGCGTTCATGCTGGTATAAATTTGTCTTTACCTTGGTATAACTATAACTTTGCATTTACCTTGGTGTAAATTTAACTTTGCGTTACCTTGGTATAATTATAACTTTGCGTTTACCTTATAACTTTGCGTATACCTTGGTATAACGATAACTTTGCATTTACCTAGGTTTAACTATAATTTGCATTTACCTTGGTATAACTTTAATTTATGTTTACCTTGGTATAACTATAACTTTGTGTTTACCTTGGTATAACTGTGCGTTTACCTCACACTATTATATGCTACATCGTGATTGCTTTAAGCATAATGTACACAACGCTGCACTTGTATAGTAAATTAGTAAGTACCCATTAGGCCGATTACCATTGCAGTACCACTCACTATGAATTAGAGGGGAAACGAATCCTGTAAATTACAAAGAAATTGATATTTATGAAAAGTGCAGTGAAACGCAAAAAGGTGAGGTGCTCGACAGTTACATCAAATAGTTGTCAGCTACTTTGATAACTTTCAAAATTCGTAACTTTTTCATCTTTATAGGATTTTCCTCTAACTCTCATTGTGATCTATTTAATTCGTTGTCTGCATTTTAGTAAACAAAACGTTATCAGGGTGGACTTACCCTTTAACTGCCAGTACACTGAGCTATAAAATAATATTCACATAGCATGACATATACTCGACACAGAGTACATGCTGGCTTCCTTCAGTCGTACCTTCATTTCCCGTGTTTGACCTAGGCCTATAAATTGTCTTAATGCGATCCATCTGAATGCACTTTATTTTCCTATTTTTTGGAAGCCAAGCCTTGTTAATTATTCATATTTTGATGTTGCTGTTGATTCGGTTAACTTTCCATTTAACCCCCCCCCCCCCCCGGTGAGTCTGCTCCGTTTACTATTAGAACTAATACCTTTCAATTATTTTCGTGTTGTTGGAGAAACAATGTTTTTGCATCCTCTTTGATTTTTTTAAAATTTGTTATCATCATGATTTTATTCATGATATTATTAGAATTGTACTTAACGGCATATCTAACTGTATTTGGTATTTTCAACAAGCTTTTTATCGCAATCGAAACATGCTTGTACAAATTATTTTGCATGAAAAGCAGCCGAAGCTGGATCAATCTTGTTTACATAATGTTGGCTTAATATACATCTATACATTTATACATTTGAAAAAGAAAAACACATGTTATTTTACTGCGGAACTGAGAAGCTTGCATTGGAACCTTTAAATGTGGTTGTGAAACCGGAAGAGCATGTCCTTCGAGTTTTCAGTCTTTGAACCTTCCATGATAACTCAAGTTTAAAGATAAAGTTGGGTTTTGGTCATGCGATTGCATTGTGAAAGAAACAATGTTGAACCGATCAGAAAAAAGCTGATCATGTAGCATAATAACTATTGGAGTGAACTGCAAGGCTCTTGAATCATCAAAATTATAAGAAATTTGGCCCAATCTTGGTCAAAGCAGGGATATGTGACTTTAAAGTCGCATCTCCCTGGTAAAAGTAACAAGCAATGTACACAGAAAGATGTACACTGTATATGGGATTAAGTACACAAACATGATTGTGGAATACAAATATGGTCCTCCTTTTTAAGCTGTTAAATGTCATATTTAGAATATGAAGGCATTTGAAGAGCCATGCTTTTCAGGGAATATTTTTTCTCTGACGTTTTTCCACACTTGCAAAATAATAATAAAAAACGCTGACAAATTATTTTTCACCTCTCCCCAGAAATCAACCTTCTCTTTAACTAATTGGCGATTGTATTTAGCTGTGTATATCACATATTAATTATACAACTACACACTTTCATGCATTGTCATGTCAAACCAAAACCCGAACAACAACATCATTTGTAAATAAATATAGTGATATATTAAATGTACATTGTGCATGGAACATTATAATAGTAGTAGCTTTAGTAGGTTCTCTTTGTTTTAGTATTGTTTCTAGTTTTGAAAATATTGTTCCTTTTGTATTAATTTCATCCTTTTTGTTTTCTTACAAAGACCAGACCGAGCCCAGCAATAGTTGATGACCCAACAGGTAAACAGATGTGGGTGTGTGCGTGTGTATGCGTGCATGTGGGTTAAAAGGAAACAAAATTGTTGATGTATGGAATATTGGAGAAGCTATTTTGAGAAGCGGAAAAAAGGATAACTGGAGTTTAGTGGATGTAAAAGAGTATGATATTTTGATGCAGTTTAACAGAGATGTATTATCGAGGAAGGTTTATGAATATTTTATAGAGAAGTTAGACAATTTATTTGTCTTGAAGATTCATGATGGACGGGAATTTTCAGATTTTTCAAATGAGGTATGTAGGGAGATATTTAGTAGGCCTAGTAGTGTATTTGGTTGGATGGGGTTATTTGTTTTATGTTACAACTGATTTCATTTTTGTTTTCATCAATTGTACAATCTATTATTATTATGTAATGAAAGTGTTTTGAATTCATGTCAAGGAAAAACAACTGTATTTTATTTCTAAAATTAATTTGTATTGTTTGGAATCAATACAAAAAAACTATTGAAAAAGAAAGAAAAAAGAAGATCATCTGGTAGGTTAATTAAAACAACCCAGTCATAACACAAGATAGTGCACGTCTTGATATTTTAATGCTGCATCTTGAATATAGACACACAAATACACCCCAAAATAACTTGGCGAGAATGGATTTAAATCTGTCACTGTTTAACTATACTGAAATAAAGTCTTCAATTAAATTCTAGTCAATCGAATACTTTCTATTCTACTTGTAATACTATCATTTACAATCTGTCTTTTAGATTTATGCCAACTTACCTGCGATAGAAATGAGCATTTGAACACGTCTTTATGCAGGTGTGAATGTGATGAGGGATACAAACGCTCCACGTATCAAAGATGCGAAGGTATATATTTTGTATTCATCACTATTTTTATGTCGGTACTATTTCGGTGATTTAATGTTAGTATTAAATGTATTTTCTACAATATATTATCGTTGTTTCCTATTAAATGTCTGAAGATCTTCGATGATCTGTCATGATCATTACATCAATTTTGTATTACTTTTTTTGATGACCCGTTATCATTTTCGGACATTACTTGCATAACTATTTTTAGGTGATCTATCAAATTTATTTACTATTATTAATATCTGTCTTATAATTACAATTAGCATTTTTCTTCTTCGATGATCTGCTCTATCGTTATTTTATGATTATCTATGGGTGATTTTGTTTTCATCCTTAAACATCAAATGAATGCTCACTAACACAAATATATATATTTCGTTATGAATCTCTCGATATTTTTGTCTTATAGATTTCGTTCAAAGAACATCCGTTTTTTTTGTTTTAAATGATGTTTTGTTTGGTCGAATAAATCAATTCGTGATTTGTAAAATTTTGTATAAGGTTTCTTCAATTCTAGTTGAATCTTATTGGTTTGGTTCTAACCCGTTGTTTTTCCTTTTCTTTATCACCATCATCATTCTTTTCTTGTTCTTGTTCTTCTTATTCTTCTACTTCTAATTCTATTTCTGTTTTTTCTTCTTCTTTGCTTCTCCCTCCTTCTTTCCAACTCCTTGATCTCCTTCTTTCCTCCCCCTCGCTCTCTTTCTTTCCTCCCCCTCGCTCTCCTCCTTCCTCCTCACTCCCATGCTTGTAGAAGATACCATAGCATCATCCCCCGCATTCGAAGAAACTCATTTCGTTTCCTTCCTGTTCTTCCCTCGTGGTTCTAATATTTTTCCAGTCCTTTTGTCCATACGTTCGGCTTGGAGTTCTGTTATTCCTCCCTCTGGTGTGGGTCATGACATTGACTGGTTATTACATGGGTTAATCTCTTCACCTCTCCATCCTCATCCCATCTGCTTTATGGGATAAACATCACTTCTCTACCAATATGTCATAATTCCATTTACAGGTGAACCGCCATGCGGTTGTTCTGGTGAAAATCCTTATTCTGTGGGCAGACATTGTAGGAAAGTTGTAATATAGGAAGTGTTCAATTGATCATAGCATGTAAACAAAGAGGTTAAAGACGTTTTGCTTCGTTGCATTTTCTTCATGTTGGTGATGACGCATGATCATGTTCTTAAAGAAGTGGTGTAGATCTAAACATGACTTGTGTAGATCTCCATGGGTATTACATTCGTGTGATAAGATTTATGCCCTTTTTTTGTTTGTTATCAAGCGTCTTAATTTCATTCATTATAACTGGAGATTATATTTGTAAGATAGATGCACTTCAAACTTTGCACAAGACCTTTAATGTTAACAAAAACTTTGTTTTTTTAATTTTTTATTTATTTGTTTTTACCTGTTCAGCCTTTAATACCGAGGGAATCAATTTAATTGTTATTTACGATATAGAAACACGTTCTACATCATAAATAACTACAGCCGTGCCACAGTCTAATCATGACCCTTTCTCTATTATGTTGTCGATCATTTTAAGTATATATTTTTGTCGAATACAGATATTAATGAATGCAGAGAGAATCCTAGACGCTGTAAAGGAACATGCACCAATAATCAAGGTTCTTTTGAATGTCGATGTCGGCATGGATACGTACTTCATACCAACGGCTGGGATTGTTATAAAGCTCCCTTAGCATTATGTAAGTTCACAATTCACTCCCATTATTATACGATGCAAGTGGTATTACATGTTTCTTGAAATGCTAGAACACTATATTGCTAAAGCCGGGGTAATAATAAAATTGTTGAGCGCCTGGAGTTTCAAATCTGTCTTTGAGCGCTATACAAGAACCCACTATACTACTATTATTATGAGCCTATTATTATAAAGCGCTTTACCAGTTACCACGAATTAAGCAACCAAATCGCACTCAGCATTATCACCCTAAATTGAATTAATTTACGAATCGTCACTTTACAGTGCAAACTCTACACTTTGCGGGGAGCATTCCAGCCAGTTGCCCCCTTTTCACAAAATGCACCTCACCGTTTCTGCTCTTTTGGAGTCATAATTGGGATATCTTCGTTTGTTCTAATCTACTATGAAAACTAGTGAAATCCACTCTAAAAGAGTAATTTTAACCACTACTCTGGAGTAGATTCCACTATAATTTGGGATGGAGTCAACTCCAAAAAACGATGTAATCCCTATACTTGAATCCCTACTATCCATTGATTTCCATTCCCTTTGTGTTGTCATCCCATTTTGAACATTATAAACAGTGCTTTCAAATACATTATTGTTTAAAGACCGTCAATACTACTGGGCCAGAAGGGATTAGACCACACAGCAAGGTCATTGACAGGTGGCTATCTCATTAACTCAGCTCTCAACTAACATAAGAAAAAGTTTTCTATATAGAGGGAGCAAGTAGCTACAAGTAGGACAGTGGGGCTCTAAATCAACTTTAATAGAGACATGGCTAGAATGAAGAACAAAAAAAAAAGCTAAAACATAACCTTTAATTCCTTTTCCTCTTTTTCCTCGCTCCAGTATGTGCAGGTTTAGCTTGTTATGATAGCTCCAGACTCAATGCAAACGGGTGCGAGTGTGACTGCGGCTATGGGATGCGTTACAATTTCGTCACAGAAGTTTGCGAAGGTGAGAGGCTGTAAATGTTCATGTTGCATATCTAGATTAAGTATTAAAACACGATAAGTGAACAAAAAGTAATAGTAGTATAGTAGTAGTTTTTCTATACAGAACTAATTCCTTTCATGTTCCACATAATATAAACAATGACAAGATAATCACAATAATAAACGTAATGATATTACAGAAAATTAGCATTGAAATACCTTTCACATTGTTTTGTTAAAGTCTTGTAATGCAACATTATTTAATTGCAGGAAATGAAAAACGAACCTACTTGAGAGCACTGCTTGTTAGGTGTTTGTTCGCACAATAATAAGTTAAACTTTATACATTCATAACTGAATTTTAATTTATCTCGATTCTTTCTGATTGTGTCCAAGAAGACGAAGTAACATAACAGTACAAGTCAAGAAATTGCCATGGCTTTTAGATATCATTTAGATCAATCATACTGCAATTAACAGTAATTTGTTTTCTAGAAGTGCGACAAAATTTCCATTGCTAATTAAGAGTTATCTTCAATTTTGTTTTGTAATTTTCCAACTAATTTGTTCTCGTAATGTAGATATTGAGCTTGCACGAGTAGTATAACCATAAAGAAACTGATTCCTCAATTGTTACCCTTTACTACACTTTGGCTCAGAGACATTGTACTTAAGTTTAAGTTTTATTTTTAGTTTTATTTCCAATAGAACAAACAATATATTAAACAATTATGACAAAAAAGTAATCAAGGAAACTCGTTCCATTTTTCTTTTTTTCTTTTAGCAGCATGGGAATTTGTCGTTCCGTCTTCCGCTCCCCCCCCCCCGCCTTTTTGAATATCGGTACACAGACTGTACCCACATTTTTTTTAATTTGAAGCTATCAACGAATATGAGAAAGGGCTTCATAACTCTGAACAAGGCTGTTTAAGAAGAACAAAATTCCCGCCATTCTATCGGGAGCAGGTTACCCCTGTGCCCCCTGTATATATATAGCTACGCCACTGATTGTACTCACATTCGTTCGACAATATCATGGAATGTGAGGACGGTCTTCATATCTGTGAACAATGTTGTTTAAACAAAACAAACAAATCGCCATTTGATTGGGGTAAATGCCCCTGTGCCCCTATACCTACACCGCTGACTATTCTCTTATTTTTCTCTTTGAAGATGTCAACGAATGTGATATCCGTGAACAAAGTTTTTTAAACAAAAATCTTTTCGTCACTTGATTGGGGTAAATGCCCCTGTGCCCCTATACCTACACCGCTGACTATTCTCTTATTTTTCTCTTTGAAGATATCAATGAATGTGATACCTGTGAACAAAGTTGTTTAAACAAAAATCTTTTCGTCACTTGATTGGGGTAAATGCCCCTGTGCCCCTATACCTACACCAATGACTATTCCCCTTTTGTTTTCATTGAAGATATCAGCGAATGTGAGGACGGTTTTCATATCTGTAAAGAAAGTTGTTTATTGAATAGTAAAACAAAAAATCTTTTCGCCATTTGATTGGGGTAAATGCCCCTGTGCCCCTATGCCTACACCACTGATTATTCCCTTATTTTTCTCTTTGAAGATGTCAACGAGTGTGATACCTGTGAACAAAGTTTTTTAAACAAAAATCTTCTCGCTTTTCCCTTTTTGGGATAAATGCCCCTGTGCCCCTATACCTACACCACTGACTATTCCCTTATTTTTCTCTTTGAAGATGTCAACGAGTGTGATACCTGTGAACAAAGTTTTTTAAACAAAAATCTTCTCGCTTTTCCCTTTTTGGGATAAATGCCCCTGTGCCCCTATACCTACACCACTGACTATTCCCTTATTTTTCTCTTTGAAGATGTCAACGAGTGTGATACCTGTGAACAAAGTTTTTTAAACAAAAATCTTCTCGCTTTTCCCTTTTTGGGATAAATGCCCCTGTGCCCCTATACCTACACCACTGACTATTCCCTTATTTTTCTCTTTGAAGATGTCAACGAGTGTGATACCTGTGAACAAAGTTTTTTAAACAAAAATCTTCTCGCTTTTCCCTTTTTGGGATAAATGCCCCTGTGCCCCTATACCTACACCACTGACTATTCCCTTATTTTTCTCTTTGAAGATGTCAACGAGTGTGATACCTGTGAACAAAGTTTTTTAAACAAAAATCTTCTCGCTTTTCCCTTTTTGGGATAAATGCCCCTGTGCCCCTATACCTACACCACTGACTATTCCCTTATTTTTCTCTTTGAAGATGTCAACGAGTGTGATACCTGTGAACAAAGTTTTTTAAACAAAAATCTTCTCGCTTTTCCCTTTTTGGGATAAATGCCCCTGTGCCCCTATACCTACACCACTGACTATTCCCTTATTTTTCTCTTTGAAGATGTCAACGAGTGTGATACCTGTGAACAAAGTTTTTTAAACAAAAATCTTTTCGCCATGTGATGGGGGCCCGGTAAATGCCCCTGTGCCCCTATACCTACACCGCTGACTATTCCCTTATTTTTCTCTTTGAAGATATCAATGAATGTGATGAAGGTCTTCATAGCTGCGGGCAAGGATGTATCAACACCTATAGGAGTCATATATGTTACTGTCACGACGAGTTTTTGATTAACTCAGACAACAGAACATGCTCTCGACTCCCCGCTAAACCAGATTCGCTGCGTAAGTTATAGAGGGAAATGTTATCGTTATGTCTTTTTGATAATTTGAAGCGAGAATAAAATGTGTAATTCAGTTTTTGAATTCTCGCCTTTATAGGCGCATATTGAATACACATGTATAATTTCTTTTATTTTCATTTTCATAACTAATTTTTTTTCTTTGGGTGGTCTGTAGTAATGTCAATAAAACCACCTAACTGTATCGAACTTGAGTGAAGTGAGATCTATTTTACATAAACAAGTAAAGAATTATCGTAATCTAGCTCAAGCATCGTTAATGGAAAGATAGCTGTCTCCTGCATTAAAAGCAATCGTTTGTGCATAGTAAGTTATAGCATGGAATTTGGGTTATATGAAATTCAACGTAATGATTGACGATGCAGAGCATAATTATGAATACCTTAAAAGTATTATTTCGGCAATAAAATACACTAGATGAATAATTGCACAATTACACATCGGGGAATCTCGTTACATAGATGAAGGATATTCGGGTATATCGGTGCCCAAGTATGAGTTCGGAATATGAGGATATTCGTTCAACTCGTCGCCTGAATGTGAGGTGCTGGTTGCCCGAATGTAGGAATCAACGTCAGGTCTCAACCTACACTGTGAAAAGGTTGGGTAATACTTTTCCAACACTTTGCCCAACGTTGTGCCATTAGTCAACCCAACCATCTAGTGGGCAATATTTTGCCCAGTGGTATATTGGTAAACGTAAGTACCCTACTACGTAATTGTTTCATATTTTGACCAAAATGTGGGCAAGATATGACCCTTCAACTGCCGACTACGGTAGCCCACATGTTGGGAAAATCTTGACCAGCTCTTGAGCAATATACGAAACAATTATGAACGTGTGAAGTAGGGTACTTACGTTTACCAATACCACTGGGCAAACTATTGCCCAATAGATGGTTGGGTTGACTATTGGCACAACGTTAGGCAAAGTGTTGAAAAATATTGCCCAACCTTTTCACAGTGTGAAGATAAAGGTCATTCTTTAATATTTGATTTATGTTTGTTTGCAGCTTGTGATGGCATGAAATGTTTGTTCGGAATATCCCTGGACAGATACCACTGTGAATGCATATGTGAAGAAGGTTTTTACTTCCATGAACGGAGAGGAACTTGCGAAGGTAAGTACTTAAAGCCCCACAATCCTACTTGTAGCTACTTGCTCCCTCTATATAGAAAACTTCCCCAATCGGTGCCTGTTGGTCCCCCATGATCCTCTTTTTCTTATGTTAGTTGAGAGCTGAGTTAATGAGATAGCCACCTGTTAGTTACCTCGATGTGTGGTCTAATCCCTTCTAGTCCAGTAGTTTTGACGGTCTTTAAATAATGAATGACTTGTATGTGTATTTTTTATTATTTTATAAACACATTCTGAATGAATCTGTTATGGATATAACATTGTTATAAACACATAATGAATAACTGATTGATTTTAACAGTATTGTGCTTATTTTTGTGTGGTTAATGTATCTGTTTCTGTCCGTACAGATGAAGTAGCATTTCTGCAAGTGACATCATATACTCTATTTTCTTTTTAAATCAACGTAATATTTTCTTCTAAATATATGAATGTAAACCGGCCGCTATAAAATTACCTCTCCAACCATAGACACTTAAAGCCCCACCGCACTAGTTTGGCCAGGAGGGATTAGACCTCCCTGCAGGTTCACTGACAGGTGGTTATCTCATCAAATAAGCTCTCATTGAACCTAAGAAAAAGAGGATCATGGGGGACCAATGGTCACGATTAGGCATTGTTTGCTATATAGAGGGCGCAAGTAGCTATAGTGCAGTGGGCAGTCACATCTCCCTGCTCCAAATTTAAGTGTAATGATCCATATACTTTGTTGGTTGGTTGGTTTTATTTTCCTTATATAAAATGTATATATATATATATATCGTCACCGTTTTCACGAACATAACATAAATATTCAGAGCCATTAATACAGTATTGCTTTATTCTCCTCTAACATTTGTCAAATAGATAGACGAAACAGTAGTATATAATTGATCAAGAGGAATATTTTATTCTCCATTGTTGATTTCTTGCTGACGTCATCTGTCCATATAATCATTTCCATCACAAATCGATACCACATGTTAATAATCTGAATTTATATAGCGCTTCATGCGAAATACCGTCTCTCAAAGTGCTTTAGAGATAATTACCCCGGTCATCGGATTCATTCACGGTTAATGTTTGAAGTTTGAAGTTTGAAGTTTATTTATTCCACATTTTACATAAAAAAGCAGTTTAATTTTTTAAATTTTTTTATACAGGCGTATAAGAGTAGATTTCACACAAGAAAAAAAATGTTATTACCATTTGAATGATTTGTATTGCTCTAGATATCGATGAATGTCGAGAATACGAGGAGTGGTGTGAACATGAATGCGTGAATGAACCCCATGGTTCCTACACATGTTCATGCCCAAGCGGCCAAGAACTGGATAAAGATGGATGGACCTGTAATGATATACGACCACCACCCGAGGGTATGTGAACTGACCATTAATGATCCGGGAATGGGGGCCGCGAGGGGTAATACGTGGGAATGGAGGGGTGGTGACAGGTGTAATAGGGGTACGGGTCTATGTCACTTATAATCCTTAACAGACTGGGCTATTAGCTGTTCTTTTTAATTGACTCGTGACCTTTCAAGTTTCAATGTTATGTGACACCATGACTGTCAAAAGATGTACACGCAAATATGATATCAAAAGATGTGCAAGACTCTTAGGTAACAGTCATGAAATGGCGGGATTAGCTTTCCAAAACTCTGAAAGTACTTGGTTGCAGTTACGGATCATATAGGAGGAGAGAGAAAAAAAGGTATTGTGCCAGAGCTTTTTTGGTATTGTGCACACCCTATACATATTACTGGATCCGCCCCTGGCAGGGACATGTGTCTCGAGTCATTTTTTTTGTCCTAAGATCCGGCCTTCATAGAATATTTTGCCTAGAAATGTTGCACTATGTGTTTATTTTACTCGCTTTTCTTGTTTTGCATAGAAAAATGATACTGCTCGTTATGAAAATATTGTTAAACAAATTATTAATCCAGTTGCAGATTGAGGGGCACAGTCAGCCTGTCCCCCTTTTAAACCCAAAATAGCAAGTCTTACCTACACAACAAAAGCATTATCCCTTTTAATTGCGCATTGTTCAGACTTGTATACCCCCCCCCCCCTCCTTCAAAAAAATCCTGTTTTCGTCCTTGTGTTAGTCCATAAATAGCCCGATTGCAAAGACTTTCGAAAGATCAACATAAGGGCACTTTAAATACCCTGTTGTATTTTTTGTCAATGTCATATCAATTCAATTTCAATTTCAACTTCAATATATTGTCCAATATTGGAAATTTGATTTGCTCACATTTTTACAAACGTACAAAGAATCAAAATTGTATTTTCGATATGGTGACGAACAATGCCTTTGTATTTTGTTTTAAGGTTGACTTTTTAAAATTCATTGCGATCGTTGTGAATATTTTTTTTAAACAGATGCCATTCTTGACGACTGTACGGACCAGCACTTCATGTGTAAGAGCAGAATGCAATGTATGCCGGACGAACTGGTGTGCGATGGGTACGGTGATTGCGGCGATCGCTCGGATGAGAATAACTGTGAGTACGACATCGGCGATGATGACGATGACGAGGATGATGATGTCGATGATGATACCCCAGTCACACCAACAAGACTGACACCAAACTGAAGACAGGGCACCGTAACACGAATGTTTGCTATCAAAATGCAGATTTGAAACAACTATTCTGATTGGTCGATGGTCAGCCTTTTGAACAATACATGCATGCAACTATGATCTTGATTGGCCATTGCCATTTACGAATGGTTGCAACTTTTGTGTTGTTACGGGGGCCCAGATCGAACGAACCATTTCACCGAAAGGCAATGAGTCGGTCGGTTTGGAATCGGTGTAGAGTTTAGTTGGTATGAGTTAGACCTAATAGAAAATGAATCACAGTATGAAAAACAATCTTGAAAGTGATATTTCCACAAAAATGAACAGATATATAATTCATATGCCAACCAGTTTAACTCATAAGCAGAAAATACCATTGGCTGAGAGAACATGAATTGTTAAAAGTTAGTATTATTGATGCCGACATTATTGATATTTTCATGTGGTATAATGATTTAGCGACATCGGACTAATTCTCGGCTGAATGTACATGTAGGTAACGCATTAAGACATTAATGATAAGGGAAATAAATGAGAAAAACAAAAGTATTTATATTTTTGTCAGTTAACATCTTTTAAGGATTACGGATGTGTAATGGCGAAGCACGATTAGTTAATGTTTGTTAACATTGAATATTATTTGTGTCATGTTCGCAGGATGGGGTGGTTAGGTGGGGGGGGGGGGGTCATTTAATCGCTACATTGCGTTCAATCGCTGAGGGTCTTTTAATTTCATTTTTGACAGGTAAAGAATCATGCAATTCCCAGGATTTCCCCTGTGCCAACGGAGAGAAATGCATTCACAAAGATTCAGCCTGCGATTCAACTAACGACTGTGGTGATTGGTCAGACGAGCTGGAATGTGGTAAATGCACCAATCAGCTCAGCCCTCTTACAATTCAACCCTAAATTAGGACAGGACATTATTCATGTTTTTAAAGCCTGAGATACGAGAAACAAATTAAAACCTTTAAAGTACTCGACTTAGTAGGTTTACCTTCTCTTAAACATTAAGATCATTAAATTGCATGTTCTTCTCTTAAATCAGCTAACTTGAAGGAATTTGAGTAGGGGGCATGTTTGTAATCCGTTTATGTTTTCATCAGTTGGTAGTGTGCAGTTGTCAATATGTAATTATGCATTACTCGTTAATAGTGTTTACGAGTATAGGCCTAATAGTAATACGTGAAATTACTTATTTGCCGACATGCAACAATAAAAAAAAAAAAAAAAAAAAATTAAAAAAAAAACAAGAGAGAATTGCCCTTAGACTTTGGTTAAGTGCCTTAAAGTTATACGAATTTAGCGGCTTAATTTCTAATGTAAAATGTCACGACCCTTCACTCTCGCTTACAGCAGGTCTTGACTAATCTTCTAATTTCTTAGGATGCCAAGATGAGAGGGACGAATGCAGTGCTTGGCAATTCCGAGGCGAGTGTGAAAGCAACCCCGGCTGGATGAACTGGCATTGTCGTATGAGCTGTGGACAATGTACAGAGGGAGATGGAACGCGTAAGATTGTCTCGTTAACATTTTATCTTTATTTCAGAATATCAGTCTCGAACATTTTAGTATGATAACATTATATTTGAGAAGATGAAATTTCCGAGATACAAACGTAACTATTTTATGCGCATGACCCATGTAGACCTGCGATTCCAGGCCGTATTAGCCCCGCGATCTCACATCGCATTGCCCTCTATTCATTCATTACCCACGTGCAAACCCGATGACCTCATGGGGTCATGACCCCTGTTAGAAACCAAAGATGGACCATTAATAGTCAACAAACACAATTTGTTGTAATCGTCATATTTTCATTCGTTGGTTTCATTCGTTGGTCATCTATATCCGGTATTTTTAGAAACGCTCTTCCATCATGTCCTATTAATCCTGTTTTAACATCTTAAATGATTATGTTTTTCAGCTAATGGAACGCTGTCGGAAGAAACAGAGACGGGAGCTTACTTCATCAGAAATTCAGCAAAATATTGTTAGTCAAATAGTGTCAATGATTACAGATTTTAGTTGTGGAGGAAGTTCTCTTTTAAAAATTCTAAATTTGTAATAAGTAACTTATTATTGATGATAATGCAATGACATTATGGTTTTAATTTAGTTCATATTTTACACATTTTTGTCATCGTCAGAACTCAAGATCTATTAAAACTGCATTTGTACAAGTTTTTATTTTAACATGTTAATTGTGCGATAAGTTGGCAACGTAGTCCTATATTATCGCCGCTGTTTTCGTGAGGTGATTATTGATGAATAAAAAATCATCTTATAAGTTAAGTGAAATAGCTAACTATTATGAATAACATGAACATATTATATTATCATGGGATATGGAGACCGAGCATTTTCCTCTATTGCTCCTCGCCTGTGGAATTCCCTCCCATCATCTATTCGCGAAATTGACAACCTTGACCACTTCAAAGCTTCACTCAAAACTCACATCTTCCTTCAGGCATTTAAATGCTAACTTTATTGGAGGAGCTCGCGCCTTTGAATGTTTTTTTAAACAGATATATGGCGCCATACAAATGCTGTAAATCATCATCATATTCACATGTCTTAATTCGTTTTACTTTGTATTGATATCTAGCTACGTATCTGCAGTATACGAGGCGTAATAAGGGCGACCGACCTGGGTCAGCACTCAATTCATGGCGATGTGACAGCGTGGGTCCAGTACCCGCTCATGTTAGGGTCAACATGGGTTTAAGGTCAGTATCAGAGGTCACAGGTGAACACGGGTCGAAGGTGATAAGGTCAAATGGAAAACCGAACCGTTTTTTCTATATTTTGTTTATATTTCAAAGCATTTGTTTATTAAAAATGATTTGAATTACGATTAGACTTATCTGTTCGATTCACTTTTTATGTTTTGTTTATACTGTCAATGCTTATTTCTTTATTA